AACTGATCTTGTTCTTTAAGCATCAGCTTAAAGTCAAGATCAGGACGGAAAGGCGGCGGCTCACCTCATCGGAATTCAGCAAAAGGTGGGTGATTCTTGCGCGAATGTGCCGAGTAAAAGGGGCTGACCTTGAGTGGCATCTGGATGCCGGTTAGGCATTAAGGATATTGTTTTCCTGGGTTGAACATAGGCAACCCATCCCGGAGTTAGGTTAGATTAGGTTTTTTTTTGTATTTTTTCTTTTAGTTTTTCTATTCTGGTAAACTTAGCTAGGGTGTATTTGCTCATTGGTCCCTTTTATCTCTGTCCCCATTTTCTTTTCCTTTAGTTTAACTCCCCATCCCCTCCCTCGTTTTAGGTGGTCAGGGATGTCAGTTCTCTGGTAGATGCGGGGCGCTTTTCGTTTTCGTGCGTGTGTTTTTCGTATTTGTTGTTGTGTATGAATGAGTGTGTGCCTGTGTGAATGCTTGGGATGAATGAGTGTGGCTTTATTTTTTCATAAGTCCCGCATCGATTTCGTCCGGTTAACTGATATTTCTGCCACATTCAATAGTTTGTGGGGGGTTTTATTACTAACACTAATTTTATTTGGTTTCTTGTAAATATTATTTTGTCATTTTGTATTTATTTCATTGGGGATCATTTTTAAAAGTTGTTGTTTTTATGCCCCTCCCCCCACAGACAATATTTTGTATATAAGGGGTTTATTTAGGTTTTTTTCATGGAGTCAAAGAGGCATTTTGGTGTTTGTAGTAAGAATGGTATGGATAAATGTGTTGTTTTGGTGAAAGGATTATTGTTCTGTATGATAGGGTCAGTGGTTGTGGCTAGCTAAGTTTTAATCTAAGACAAGTGATGACCGTCCTTTACCCCAACCCCCTTTTTGGCCTTGTGCCGTATTTGTACAAAGTACAATAAATAATGATATAAAAATGGCAGACATTGCAGACAAGAGGAGGCTTTCCCTTCCTCTATTGTTGAACTCTCTGCCTCTGGGTGAAGAGAAACCCAGATGGGGCTATGCCGAAAGGGCAGAGTCTTGTTTGAGGAGATAGACAAACCAGACCCTATCTATATGGGGTCTACAGGTAATTTTTGCCTGAGCCTACAAGCTTGGAATGCCCTACGTTAAAAATGGCCTTGTGCCACATATTGCCTTGTGGGGAGGTTGGTAAATAGAGACGATAGGTAGTTTAGCTTCAACATTCACTCCTATTATTTTGAGGGATGGATAGGTCCTACTAATATCAGTTTTGTTTTAGTTTTTGTTTTGTTTCAATCTTTTGTTTGTTTACTGGGTTCATCCCCTCCTTGCCTCATTTCATGTTTTAGTAAATTTTTATATATTTTTATAAAAAAAAAAAAATTTAGAGCCATAACAAAATTTTTTTTATCACGGGTGTTTTGTAGGTCCCTTGTATATATATATGGTATTGTGGTATATGTAGGATTAAATGTTGAAGGTTGAGTTCTTGTGGTAAATGGAGGAATTGTATTGGATGAATGGGTCATGCTTGTGATTAACTAGGACTAGAATAGTTAGTGATGACCAGCCTTTCCCCACTCGTGCCAAAATTATGTATTTTATACATAATAAATATTGTTTAGCTTCAACACTTTGACTTTGTCACACAACCACCAACTACACGCCTTTCTGACACCATCTATGACCTCGGCCAACCAACACAAGTAACAGGTCAACTCCTGGCCCTACTGACAATACTCTTATGACAAATTGTTCTCCTTACTAATGACAACTAAGGAACTGCATGGAAACAATTTTTTGCCACCTTGTATATATAATGAATTTTGACCAATATATGTTGAAATTTTAATCCTTATTTTGTTCCTTTCCATTGCAACCAAACACTTGTTATAAAACTACTGTTGCATTCAAATTCCATAAATATCTATATAAAGTGTTTTCTCTCAAACATATATAGATATCCTTGTCTGTTTTCATCAGTGAACAAAGTGTTTCCATCCTAATATAAGCATTATCATAATGTTGTTATTAGGATGGAAAAGTACACTGTACGCATATATCTCCAGGAGCCATTCCAATACTGTGATTTTCCAAAACTGATTACATCTTGATTGTGTCCTATGGCATCACTTTTGAAAAATCAGAACCAAAAATGTAATTTGTATTAGAATTCTTTTGTTAATTCTCCCTTGATTGAACTGTCAATGATACCACCAATTATTCAATGACTGATACAATGCTGCTTACACAATATCAACAAACAAATAACTAGTAAAACAGAGAAAAGAAATTAAATATAGAAGTATTTGTTTAGTTTATCCGTTTTTTTAGGACACATGAAGAGAAATTAAATATTAATCCTACAGGAATCAACGTGGTTTATATTTAAGTTAAATGCTTAATATTTTCCTATTAATTAAAAAACTTTTATTATTAGATTAACCACTTTAAATATGTCTTTAAACAATTCCTTATTTTAATTTTCGTTACTGTTTTTTTAATTTAAAAATATTTTTTTCAAATTATGGTATTAGTATAGTTAAAGGAACTAAAGGATATATTAAATTCGTTAGAATTTTGAAGAGAACTTGTTACTGAGCTTATAAAGAAGTAATTGTGTAAAAGAAAAAAAAAAATCTCAACGTAAATTTTGTTTTACGCATGCGCAAAAATTCCTTCATTCAAGGGAAGCGACTCATTTGTTGACTTCCGGTTCCAATCGTTATTTTACTCAACACATGTACAAAATGGCAAGAAGTATGAGTGACAATTCTGCTTTTGACCAACAAGTGGAGAAATGTGTTAATATGTTACATAAGGCTACTACAGACAATGAGAAACTGGCAGCCCTTCTATTGGTTAGTTTTTGCTAATCGTTTTTTTTTTCTTTTTGATACATCGTAACACACATTTGCCTGAATTTTCCATTTCATTGATATAGTTTCCTTTCAATTTAAGATAAACAGAAAAAATACGAACGAAATATGCGGGAAATAGTTTTTTTTTTTTTTTTAACTCACTGCCTGTGTAGACTTTCGGTTTTACTTACATTCATTCCACACATAAAAATTTATTTTTGAAGTACGGTTTTTAAAAGAAAAAAATCAATGTAGGATTGGCATTGGTAATTTTAGCTCAGTTTTCTTCAAGAACGAGAACAATATTGCTTAAACATTTGTAATAAACGTCACTATTTCAAGCGTTAACGTAACGTGATTATGTTGAAAAGTTGAATTTTTTTTTTTTTTTTTTTTTTTAGACATTATTAAGTTTCCATACTTTTAAGTATTCATTTTTAAATCTTGCCTTCAATCCTGAAATTCAATCGTGTTGTTAAAGAAACATTGAAAGTAAAAAGCTTTTTCTTTTTTATTTGTCACTCGGTGCACAAATGCATTTTAAAATTTTATTTTTAATTTGAATGTAACGTGTGATCTATCGAAATTAATTTAAAAAATAAATGCTGGATTACGTATGAGAATAATAATAATAAAAATGTATTTAAGTTTAGAACTTCAAACTATTTCTATATGCCAAACACTGATTTACCTCCCTGATCTCTTTATTTTAATTAGCCTCATATTCTTTTTGAATTTGGAAACTGAAAAAGAAATGTCATGCATCCAGTTCAGAATAGCAGAGCTATAACAGTAACACATACAGCAATTTATTTCAACTATTTTCCCGTAAGTAGGGAGTAGAGAGTTAGCATTGAAGTTTAATTTTTCGTAAAGAAAGCTACATTTTTTTTTTCTCTTAATTCTGACTTAATCTGCTGATATCGCATTTGTTTTTAATTGACTCATGAAGTCAGTGTAGCTAGCCTTTGGATTTGAAATAAAACTCAAAATGGTAAATATTGGTTTTATTACCCTTGCGCTAATATCCCTTAAAATTTTTCCAAAATCGTCATAATTCCGTGCAAGTGTACATACTGAACTCGAATTAACAATTAAATTATGAAGAAACCTTACCGTTTTGGAGTTATCGACAAGAAAAAAATGGGACTTCTTGTTGGTCTCCCATTATTACTGCCATCATGAATCTCGATTCAATACGGGATACCTACGCCGGCGTAATAAGAAAATTTGGCTTATTAACTTCTTTTACAGACTTTCCTTGCAGAAAATCACTACGCACGGGTAACAAAACTAATATTTACCATTAAATCACTAAATCTCAGAATTTGATAAAAACAAAATAAGATGGAAAAAAAAAGAAACGGTCATACATTGTTACATCAGAAATAAAACTAAAACTACTGTTTGAAATGTTATATTTCAGTGCCAATTAGTAAAAAATAAAGTCCATAATTTTCGTTTCTCTTTAAAATGCCAAAATTTCAAAATTCACCAGAAAGGGGGCAGAGTCTTTTTCAATATTTTAAATGATTTTTACATGACTCTGTAAACGGGTTTATCTCCCTTACATCGAATGAAAAATAGTAATATCTCCGAATTTGAAAAACATTTTTTTTTTTTTTTTTTTTTTAAAAAGGTCAGACATACCTGTGCCCGAAATGAAACGAATAATAAAGTGGATTAGAATAAAATGATAAGTGTTAAAAATCTTTTGAAACGCTAAAACTGGATATACTCCCAAAAGTCAGAGTTTGGAAAAACAAATTTTGATAATGATGCAAGAATTTTGAAACTAAATCTTGTCCATTTTTTTTTTTTTTTTTTTTTTTTTTGTCTTTTAAAGATATCTGAAACTTATTGGTCACAAATATTGAAATGGCTTTCCTACGACTTCTCAACTTTTTGCAAAACCAGAAAATATTTTTTTCATATTTAGTAAGAATTTTTTTGAGATAATGATTTAGTGATACAAAAATGTTACTAATTAACTCAAAGCTGGGGGTGTGGAGAAAAGGTGGATTCATACCTTTCCCAGGGGTATTTATTTTTACACATAACAAGTGAATAAAGAACTCTGCTGAAATTGGAACTCTGCCCTCCGATTAACAATTCTGAGTTATTATCCATACAGTCACACCACCCACACACCAAAGCTTACAGCACCTGTTTATTCCCAAGCAATCACCCATCTAGGTACTGACCAGTCTCGACGTTGCTTAACTTTGGTCATCATATGGGAAGCGATGTTTCAATGCTATATGGCCATAAGACCAAGTTAATGTTAAAATGTTGAAATAGACTATATCTGAAAAATAATGTAATGAATATATTTCGATTTACATCAAAAAGTATTTTCAGTCAATCAAATAAATTCAAGGTGGCAGTGGAAAAAGGCTTGTTTTAACTTTTATGGACATTTTCCCCATTAAATAAATTCCTTACTAAAGTTTTGGAGCTTCATGCAGTTTTTCATTTTATTTTTGTGTTGCTGCTCAAAATGCTCTGTATAAGAAACCCTCAAAATTGTAAGACTAGTTAAAAAAGAAAAGAAGTATAAAGTTAATCAGCATTTGGTATGCAGAAATTGTTTGTTGTTTTGAAATCTTAAATTCAGAATAATTAAAAATTACCACATTGAGTGTAATTAAATATGGCATTAAACAGGTAAGAAAATAATCCAACAATAAAAGCAATGTATTAATCTCAAAAGTAACATTTAACTAAAAAAAAAATACTTAGTATTCATTCTAAGTTTCATAAAATTGTGCAAAATAAAAAAAAAAAAAAAAATGTTCTTAAAAATATTGGTTATATAAGTTTAGATTTTTTTTTTTTTTTTTTTAAACAAATACCAATTTGATTTCTTTTGCTACCGGTATTCCATATTTCTTAAAATCTTTCATGTGCTCTTTTTAGAGAGTGATTACATGAGGTATTCTTATTTTCTGTCCTAAGACACCACAGATTACTGTGAGTAAATAAATGTTATTTTCATTATGTTTTAAGCAAAATGTAAATATTTTGTTTCCAAAATCCAGTTAATTCCTAAACTTACCGAGTTCAAAACACATTTCTAGGACAAATATGGGATTTTTAAGATACTTTGTAAAAAATTTTAATCTACAGTGGTAGTACAATGAGTCCTGGGTGAATGTGCCAATGTCTTAAAGATTCCTAAAAACAAGAAGATAGAATGCATAGTTGTGAGCAAAATGTACAGCAAGTTATGCATTGGGGTTCTCAAAATTGTGCAGAAACAAACCTGAAAATTCATGGTATTACATTGTTTCGACATGAAAACTATTTTCCTTCCTTAGAAATAAAAATTAGATTGTCAGCCAACCATTGGTATCAGTCATGGTGTCATACTTGTACTTTGAATGTATTTGTAGAATCTATGAAACAAGTATAGGTTTATTTGCATTTCTGTTGCTTGTTCTGACAGCATTTTGACTATATTAATTGCATTTCTCCTTGGAATACCAGGTGGTGTAATGGATAATGGCTTAGAATTGTTAATCGAAGATCAGATCCAATTCCAGTTGGATTAATTTTATTCACTTATGTACAAATACCCTAGGGATAGGTATAAACCAACCTCTTCTTTCCCCAGCTATGGTTTAATTAGTAATACTTGTATCATTAAATTTTTATTTGCAAAAACAAAAATTCTTAAGATCTAAAATATTTCCTGGCTTGAAATAACCTGATAAGCCATAGAAAATGAATGAGCCAATCAATAATTGTATTTCTTGTTCCAGCATCATGAAGAAAGCTATATTGTTTTATTTCTGGTCTAATTTTGCTATGAGCTCTCTTCATTAGAATCCTAATTATTAGTTTTATGTGTCTTATCAAATTGATCGATGAAGTTTGCATTGCTCTTTTTGTTTTTATTGCAATGCTACAAAAATTGATTTATTTCCATTCTCTGGCATTTTGCTAATGCTGTATAATTTGTTTCATACTTCAGTAACCTTATTGATTTCAAAGTCCTCTTGGGCTATGAACAAACTTATATGGTCTTTCTTGCTTTGTTCCTCTTGACCATTTAATGTAGTTACTTCAGATTAAGTACTGTTGGTCCTTCCATACTGAAAAGAATATTTTACAATACAAAGCTTTAAAAATGTTATTGAATATTTTCTGCATAAAAATTGGTATAAATATTTTTTTTTTTATGCAATTGTTTTCTTTTTCTTTTTTTTTTTTTTTTTCATTCATATCTTGAAAGGCATAAATTTTATTTTAATGGATCTGAACAAAAGTTTGTAATGTTTTTAAGTGAATTTCAAAGACAATATTTACGTATTTGTACATGGATTTATTCAACCATATGTGCCATTTTGTTCCACTACTTTTTCTTGTCTTTGAGGCAGCATCATGATTCAGTCCTCTCAGAACTTGGTACATTTGTGAGTGATGAACTGGTCTGTGTTTTTTACTGGCTTCTAAATAATTGAAATTTTTTCTGTTAAGAGAATTTTACAGGAATTGAAATGTGTTAATCCGAAAGTGCCAGGACAGGTGAATACGTTGAGTGGAGTAGGGCATCCTAGCCAAACTTTAATAATTTCATGCCAGATTTGCAAAGAGATGTGGCATAGAAAATGTTGCAATTATTTCTTATTGGATGTGAGACACTATTTTACTAAAGGATACTCGTGATTTGTTACTGAAAAGTTATCGGTTTGTTTTGCCTTCTCCTGTTTAGGTGATTTTTCACGTGCACTAATGGAAAACAAGATTGCAATATCCTGAATATGCATTTAATTTTATTTAAGATTAAATGTACAGGTAATATATCTGGATTACAGTAAATGATCACATGTACAGATGAATAAGTTGGCGGAGGTTCCAAAATAAAGGTGTATCAACAGTAAGTAGACCCCATATAAATATGCTATATATCACTTGCTTTTTGCATCTGCTGCCTCAATATAGTCCAGCATTGTTCCATACCTGTTCAATGATGAACAAGTATGGTGAGAATGCTGGCCTGAAAAGTTGTTGAATATCTTGCAGATCATTTTGAACAGCATAGGTATCCTGTGTGTATATATCATCCTGCTGGAATCGTATATCACCTTCCTGTTGCAATAATGGCAACAGAATGGGTTTGATCAATCGATATTCTCTCTACAAATAGACAATCTAGTGTTGTAAGTTATGGCACACCACAGCTTGATTTTAAGAGTCGGGTCTGTGTGTTCTAAATGAATACATTCAGCTAGATGTCAATCCCCAAGTCTATGCTGCACACTTGAATTATCACACACCTAAGTATACCTTGAATAATATGGGAGAGAAAATGTTAAAATTACAACACCCTGTATATATGTTTCAAATTAAGATCAAGTCTCCAGGTAATATAATTGGATTTCAATAAATGATCATAGATAGAGATCAATATATTGACAGATATTTTCAAATAAGGATTATGAACATGATTGATTCCCTGTATTAATTCACTTGGGAGGTAAGGTGAACCTGTAGTCTTTTATGCAGATACTTGAGTGGCATCCTGCAATATGTTCGTCTATACTTTGTGCATTTGTTGACATAATACAATGAGTTAAAGGTCACATGTTGTTTTATCACGTTCTATGCATGTTCAATTGGGGACAGGTCTGTCAATTATTCTGGCCAAGGAATTTGTCAAACATCTTAAAGAGCTTTTTCAGTAGCATGGGTATCATATGGGTGAGCATGTTTCTCTTGAAATGGCACATCACTTTTCTGTTAGAGGAATGACAGGAGAATGAGTTGAACAATGTTCTGGATGCACATGGTGATGTTAACATTGTTATTAACAAATCCCCAAAGGCAAGTAAGAGTTTTAACTTAGAACACCTCACACCATGATGCCAGGATGTGTGTGTCTGTGTGTGATGGATAAATATACTTCCATGTTGCTCTGCAACATGCACACACCCACACTCTTCACTTGTCTGAAGGCAGACATTGCTTTTATCCCTGAACACTAATGAGCACTATTTGATCTCCCAGGTGACCATCTCCTGACACTACTGGAGATCTGGAAATCTAGCTACAGCTGTGTGTGCTCATTGTCCTGCTGCAATTAAATTATACCCAATGGTCAAGGCAATCCTTATACCAGGCCTTGCAACCATGTGACTGGGGTCAATGACTGGGAGCATACATGTAGGGGCCTAAATTACTACTAAATAACAATTGCTGTTTTTAGCAAGGAAATTGTTAGTAATGTCCAGTAATTAGTTAATTAGCAACTATATATAATATTAGAAAGCAGCTTATAATTATTGACTTATTTCCATAAATGTAAAAAGAACAGAAATACCATAAAATAACTAAATGCACAAAAATCACTTAATTCATCATAAATTAGACATTTTTAGTTGACATAGTTACAATTTGTTAATAGTTGGGTATCTCTTTTTGTTAATGATAAAGAATTTTAAAATTTCCAACATTAGCTTCAGGTTAAACAAACTTTAATTCATGTTTTTTTTTTTTCTTCATGTATATTTTTTTAAACTTAAAATATTTCCAGAGGCTGTATAAACCAGCATATAAATTGTTCATTTTAAGTATATAAAAAAAACTAAAAACAAGAAAAAAGATACTCTAGATTGAATTGATTAATATGTTGTGTATACAGTTACTGATACATGACAGAGGCTGAAGAGAAGTGACACTCCCAATAGACATACTACCATCTGGTAGCCTCCTAATTCTATCATACTAGGCAAGTACTGCAACTTATATACTATTTCTTATTTGAGACAAATTTTCATAAAAAGTCTGTTGGTTATTTATTTACATCTAAAATATATATATAAAAAAAAAATATCCTATGCTATTTGCCCTTCCAGCAACTGACAACAGCTGAGTGAGATAGTGTCAATTCAACATGTTGTTCAAAGAAACAACCAAATAATTTGCTTTATATTTATGATGGTAACAAAGATAAAATAGAAAGTGAATTATGGAAATTACTTATATAGTGTGTTAACTACTACAGTAAAGTTGTCAAACAGTTGATGCAAAAGTATTACTTTTAACGACTTGTAAACATAATGGCCAACAAGTTACCGTAATCAGCCAGATGTTAATAGAGGTATATTTATTACTATAATATTTGATATATAAACCATTTAAAATATAAAGAAAATATTAACATAGAAATATTACACTGTTGATATGCACAATTCTCTTCAGTTTCCATTGCTTAATTTAAATATTTTGACAGTCGAACACAAGTGCACCGTAGTACTGAAAAGTTTAGTTTTGGGTAGAAATTAATACAGTTTTGTAATGATGGAAATATTTTAGCATAAAGGTCTTATAAATTTATTTTGTAAAAAAAAAAAAAAAAAAAAAAATTAATAATAATGTGCTTCAGCAAAGTACATGTGAAAGAAATAATACCAAATTTACAGACCTTCATTGCATGGGGTGAACTCTATTTAGAAAACAAAAACACTGGCACTTGATATAGTATGGAAGATAAATGGGATAACAGTGGAGACAGCACTTGTGGTCTGGTTGCTAGGGAAGAAGACACTGCAAGGGACATCACTACTTACTCCACCACCCTATACAAGATACTTCTTTAGAAGCTTTGATTAACCTAAGAAGTTTTCTCCCACTTGCAGACTAATGATTAAGTAGAAGAGTTGCAGACCAGTTATTGGAAACCAGCTTTGTTTACAAGCCCAAGACCAAAGTTCTCTGATTTAACTGAATTCTATACTAGTCATCAGGCCAGCATATTACTGTCGTTTTTATGATATGTTGTGAATAATGCTGATACCTAGTAACTCTCCAACTGAGTTTAGGTATACCACAGAATTGGGAAGGTTTAAACTGATAATAGTAATTCTTGACAAATAAAATCTGTTATTGTTTCTAAAACAAGAGTTGGTTGTCCCCCTTGATATTATATATATGTTTGTAATTTGTTTCTTATAGAATTCTCATACACTCTGTATCTGTTGGTACCAGCTTATTTTTTATAATTTATCTGTTTTATTACTTTTTTTCTTCCAGATGAGCAATCAACTCATGTTGAATAATGTTCCAACATTAGGAGAAATACTGGTCTCTTATTTAAAGTTTGTACCATTTTAATCTTTTGGGAATTAAAGGGTCAACTGCTATCAGAAAGGCAGTGGGTCCTTTTTTTTTTTTTTTTTTTATCTAGACATGTTGTTGTGAAGTTGAAGTTAGCACTAATCAGCCGCTAAGCTCGTACTTCTACCTCGTTATTCTCAGTGACCACTTATGAGTGTTCAATTATGCTTATGCAAATTATGCATACTAATTTGCTAGTATCACGACATCTCCCTGAACCTTAAGGGTTTTATTCCTCTCATAGATCTTGTACTCCTTCTCCTGCTATTTTCATCAATTGCTCTATTTCTTTCTCTCCCGTATTTCTTTCCCTGGGAGACCTTGATCTATCCCGGGCTAGGCTGTAGTCATATGTGTTTTCTTGCATAATCTGGTCTTCATCTGAACTTTCAGACTCCTTCTGGCCCTCTTCATCCTGCATTGTTTCCTCTTCTGACGTTTCCTTCTGTAATGGTTGTTCTACCAACTCGTTATCAGATGGAATTGAAGACATTTCTTCGTTGTTTCGTTCTTCCTCTTCACCCTGGGTCCTTATTTGGTCTGCATGGGCTAACACACTATCGCCATTCTCTCTATTTATTATGGCTGTATTGTGGCCTTTTTTCATTATAAATTCGGCTCCTTCCGGATCTGCATCTTTGCTCTTTTTGTACCACATTTTTTCATTTGTAGAATATGACATTGTTAGCAGAGCTCTAATCTGTCTTCCCATTAAAGCTGATGGGCTTTCTAGTCTTCCCATGTGGTATCATACGATAACTTAAAAAAAGCATCCTCGGTAGAAAAACTTTTTCTACATTAATTTTATTTTATTTTTTTTTTTTTTTCTTTTTTTGCTGAGAGCATGCTAATTTTTAGCTCCTTTTTACGGTCTGTACCATTCTTTCTGCTAATCCGTTTGATTGAGGGGTGATATGGAGGTGTCTTATATGGTTTACACCCTATTTTTTTCTAACCATACGTTAAGTTCTTCCTCACAAAATTCTGGTGCATTATCAGATACCAAGGTTTTTGGTACACCATTTCTAGAAAATATGACTCTTAGAATCTGCTTTATAGTAGAACTTTTCTTGTTTGTAACCCAGATTATTTCAGGCCAACCTGAAAAGGAGTCTACTAATATTAACAAGTCCCACTCCATTAATGTATGCATGATCCATATGCACACGACTCCATGGCTCCACTTCTTTGGGCCACGAATGTAATTTGGTTTCTGTAAAGTTTCTTAATTCTTTACATTTTTTGCACCTTTTTACATATTCCTCAACGTCTCTTGAATATCCCAGCCACCAAGCTTCTAATTTTATCCTTTTTTGTGTGGCCACTACTCCACAGTGTATATCATCATGTACACTTTCTATTATCGGTTTTCTTTGTGTTTCTGGGGGAACTACCAGGTCCCCATTGCAAATCACTCCATGTTCTATTGTTAATTTGTGTCTTATTTCTTTATAGGGTCTTTCTGCCCTAGAACAATTTCCCCACGAGTTTTTTCTTATTCTTGATACTATCCTACTTAGCATTGGATCATGTCTCGTTTCCGCAGCCATTCTGTCTAAAGACAAAACATCAGTCTCTATCAAGTGTAGGAATGAATCTTCAAATTCTTCCTCTGTTTTATCTTTTGACTCCTTGTAGAACCTCAATCTTGATAGTGCGTCAACATGGGGAAGTGAATTTCCTTTGACATACTCTATATCAAAGTCAAATGCCATCAATCTTATCGCCCATCGTAGAATCCTTGATGTCGTGACTTTGGGTAATTCTTTCCTTGGGTTAAATATAAACTCTAATGGTCTATGATCACTTCTTAATAGAAATTTTTTCCCAGTTAAAAATTGTCGGGCTCTGGTAGTTGTCCACACGAGAGCCAATGCTTCTTTCTCTATGTTTGAGTAATTAAATTCAGTGTTCGTTAATCTTCTCGACAAATACATTATCGGATGTCCTTCTTGTGATAATATTCCTGATATTGAATGTTCACTTGCGTCTGTAGTGAGTGTTATGTCCTTTTTTGAATCAAAAATTTTCACTACAGGTTTCCTTGACATAATTTCTTTTAATCTTTCAAAAGCTTCTTGCTGTTCATCTGACCACATAAATTCCACATTCTTTTTTTCTTAAATTTGCAAACGGTTCCGTCAAGTCCGTGTATTTTGGTAAGTATCGCCTGTAAAAATTTACCAATCCCCAAAAAAGACTCTAATTCTTTTTTATTTGTAGGTGTAGCTACTTTTAGTATTTTTTCTATCAAGGCTTGGTCTGGTGATATACTTTCTTTTGAAATGGAATAACCTAAAAAAGATATTTTGTTAGAATTGCTTACGCATTTTTTTCATTTATCGTCATTCCAGCATTTCTTAATCTATTCAAGACTAAGTCAGTTTTCTCTTTTAATTCCTTTTCATTAGTAGCTCCTATGCATATTGTCGTCTTGGTAACAAATCATATTTTGTACATTTCCTAAAACCTGTTCAATGGCCCTTTGAAATATGGTGCTTGCGGATTTTATTCTATATGGCATCCTTTTCCATCTTAGTAACCCTATTGGCGTATTTATCGTGGTTACTTCTTTGAAGTTTTTGTCTATTGGTATTTGGTGGTATGCCGTTTTTAAATCTATTTTTGAAATGTAATGCAAGTTCAACATTGGGTATGGGATATGAATCCGAGCATATCTTGTGATTTACTCCTATTTTGTGATCACCACAAATACGTAAATCACCATCTGTTTTCCTCAAAACTACACTCGGTGATGCCCACTTGCTACCTCCAGGTGGAACATGTTCAAGAAGGTCTTGTTCTACTAATTTACATAGTTTTGTCACTACTAATGGCAATAAATGTACTGGTAATTTTCGTGCCTCATAATAAGAGGGGGAAACATTTTCTTTTACTTTTAAACTTGCTTCATAGCTTTTTAACTTTCCAGTTTTCTCCATTTTTATTTCATTAATTAACTTAGTAGAATTTATATCAAGCACGTCATTTCCAATAAGCCTGTGTTTTTTTTTTTTTTTTTTTTTTTGCAACTTGTAACAACTATAGGTATTACTTCAAATTTTTCTTTTAACTCTAATGAACCTTCAAAGTATCCTAATGTTTTTATGACCGACCCATCAAATTGGCGGAGTTGTAAACTGCTTTTTCATAAAGGTGGCTTACCAATGTGTTCCCCCCCAATTTTTTGGTATCAGTCTTACTTCACTCTCAGTATCCATTTGCATATCTAAATTGCAGTTATTAATTTTGACCTTTACTATGTCTTTTTTCTTATGTTCAATTCTTTTTAAAGTCTTATTTTTTAATGTAAAAACTTCCCTATTGGTGTCGTTTTCTTCAATTCTTTCAACATTTTTCTTTTTTAATTTACACACTGCTTGAAAGTGGTTTTTTTTAAGCAATTATTACAATTTTTTTCCAAATGCTGGACACTTTTTCTTTTTTCATTTCGTGTTCACGTCCCAATACGAACACTTTTTTATCTTCTTTAACATGTACATATCAGCGAATATTTGTTCGCTGGGTTGACTTTTATAATGGTGGTATGTCTGTATTAGTTCTTGTTGCTGCATAAAGTCAATACATGTATTTAAAGACATATTTCCTATTTGTAATTGTTCCATTATTTTATATCGGTGTGACGCATTGGACATACCTTCAATTGGTCTTAATTGAAACAAGTCCTCTTCAATAGTCTGTTTGTCTTGTCCAAGTTTTTCAAATTCACAATATCTACTTGCATTTCATAGACGGTGTAAATATTTTATAATTGGTTCATCAATTTCTTGTTTCATCGACATGAATTTCGTTCTTTCTGCCACTACCAGCCTTTTCTTGGGTCTCATATTTCTTCTTATAATCTGGCTTATTTTTTCGAAAGTCAGGTCTACCAAATGTAACGGAAATGCCATGGTGGAGACTTTCATTACCACCTTGCATCCAGCTGTAGCCAAAAATAAATCCGTGATTTCATTTTCACCTCCCTTTTCCTTGTTGTCTTTCAACTTTTTTGTTCTTGCAGTGGCAGAGAAACAATGAATCCATGTATCCACGAAATCTGGATCTTCCAGAGATAATTGATATCCTATCGAGACGCCATTGTTGTGAAGTTGAAGTTAAGCTCGTACTTCTACCTCGTTATTCTCAGTGACCACTTATATGAGTGTTCACTTATGCTTATGCAAATTATGCATACTAATTTGCTAGTATCACTAAACATGTTTTGGTTTGTTCTGTTAGCTTACATCTTTCTATTAAATTTTCTCCAAGAGGATGTCTCTGAAATGTTAACATTTTTACTGATTTTTTTGTCTGCATTAAGAATAGAAATATATCAAGCCACAAAGAAATTTTTGTCTGCATTAAGAATAGAAATATATCAAGCCACACTTCTCACATTGTCATCATTCTTGCATTGATATCATTCTGTTTTGCATTATGATTGTTTTATTAAAAAGATTATGTAGAATGTTTTTAGTAATGTCTGAAAAATATAATATTGAAATAGTCACATTCATGTTGAAATCCTTCAATTCTTTCCTTTCAGTCATTGAATTTTTAATAACTTCAAATTTCTCAAGAATAATTATAAAGATGATATTGCTAACAGTTTGCATCAATTCATAAAAAGGCTGGAAATAACAAATCCAATAAGAGATTACAGGGTTCATTGTTGAACAACTGCTTAAATATGTGCCTTCAAGTACTTCTCAATTTTAATAATTGGGACAGAAAACCAGTTTTGAGCTGTTTTTATTTATTTTTATTATGAATATGCTTTTATTGTGTCACAATAATAATTTTTTTTTTCCAGAGTAAATAAATCTGAAAGCGAAACTGATCAACGTAAATCTGATATACCTGAAATGTTAGACAGCTGCTATGATTGCCTCACAGCTGTATGCCGAACATCAAATGGCAGAAAGACACTGGTGGAAAACCAGACTGTCTCCCAACTTTGCACTTGTTATATAGAAGCTAATTATGGTAAGAGTTGATCAATTACAATTTCTGACAGAATTTTAGCTTTTCATAAGAACAAGGATGTTTCATACTTTAATATGATGATCTGAGAGTAAAATACTTAAAGGTAAATGGAGGCTTTTAAAAGATACAAATATATTATTCCTACAGATATATTGTTTTATATTCCTTGGAGAGAAATAAAAACTTAATTTTATGTGTGTTCTTAGCTGTTTTGAATGCACATGTTGATGATACTAAAAACTTTAGGGGAATTATCATTATTTTAAGAATAGGTTTATTTCTTTTAATTAAATGTTTTCAAGTGTTGAAATTGAATGTAAAAGTTGATTTGCATTGAATTCAAAAGAATATTTATTGTACTTTGCTTGTCTGCAAAAATTAATTATTAGGATTTTATAATTTAAGCAAATAGATCTCACAGAACCTTGGTTTTTAATTCTTGTACATGCTGCATTTCCATCATGAAATGTGTCCACAAAATGCATATTGTCATGACGTTTGTGATCTAAAACTACCATTTAATACTTTCATCTTGGATAAACTCTTTTGCACAAAGCTAAAGATACCAGCAGATGCTCTACTAGAATCTACCCAAACATCTACATCTCTTACCCCCACTTCTAACATTGGAAAGATTCTATTTTACTTTGTCTTAAACATTAGTTACAACTTCCACTCTATTTTCTTGGTTCAGTTAATATACAAATCAATCTGTTCATTCTGTGTGTCTTTATGGCAGTAAACATATTGACAATCTCTTAATCTTATCTGCTAAGAATAGCAAAAAAATGATTTGTTAGTCTTTATATTTTATGATATCATGCAGCACCACTTACATAGAAAATTATAAAAATACTTTTAAAATCTATGAAATGAACAAACTTGCTAAAGCAATTGATCTCTGTTTCATTGTTCTATAATTCTATGTATTCATTTTTCTTTTTCAGGCAATGAGAGAGCATTGGAAGTTCTACAATTGCTAGGTTCCACGTCTGGGCCCAAGATTTGGAAGAAAAATGAAAAAGGTTTACATCACTTGTTGGATTTCCTTTGTAAAAAATTTTCTGAAAGCAAGGTTTGTTTAATTATTCATTACCATTAGCTTTGTATGGAAAGAAAATGGTGCTAGGATAGTAATGAGATCTTCTCAACTTAACCTTGAAAGGGTTTTAAAAATTACAATATTAGGTCATTTGGTTACATTCTGAAAAGTGATTTATGCTGAAAACTTTTTACTACCTTCTCATATTTACAATGTATTATGATCCCCAGTATGATTTTGAAAGTATGAAGAAATGGCAGTTTTTTTTTTTTTTTTTTTTTTTTTATAAATTCTAAATAGCATTAAGTTTAGAAAATTTTATATAAAGTAATAATAGCACAATTTATGATATTTTACATTTAAAAATGTTGAGATTGTGTTTGACTATCTTTGATTTCACTCTACTTTGTTCTTACTATTCCAAGTCTTCCATTTAATTTACATTATAATGAATTTTGATTGGCAACCAATTGAGATGGTTGTTCTTTTTGTTTCTAATAAATCATTAAAAGTATTCTCTTACGAGTAAATGGATCTGTTATTGTATCAGTGTGTTATCATTTCAGTCTTGAAAAGGATAGAAAAACTGATAACTTAACACTTTATTTTGAACACCTTGAAGATATCTAAATAAAAAAATGTTAATATTAATTTTTTTTTTTTTTTTAACAAAGATGATACATATCAAAAGCATGACGGTTATCTCAGGAATTCAAATGCTTTTTTTTTTTTTTTTTTTTTTTGCTTAAAGCATGTGCTCTTTACTTAGAAGGCTGGCATAACAAAATTTTCATTACCATAGCTGTTTTCATTTACCAAACTTAGTAAATATCTGTACTTTGTATTATTTTTAAATGATAGATTTTTTTTTTCTTGATCTCTCCTTGTGAGAAACCATTACAGCAAACCAAAACTCTAAGTAAGGTAATTGAGCTTTGCATTACTATAATGGATTCTCATGGCTTGAGCTTGAGAGCAGTTTCCTTGATTAAAAAGGGAATAAATGTTGAGAAAAAAAAACTATCACTGTAATCATGACTACATATTACAAATTTGTTACTATAAACATTACATTTAGTGGGTACATGTGTTTGAGTAGGTATCTCCATATTTTTTTTTAAACAGTGAAATTAATTGGCTAGAGATCCAACAAAAATATGCTTCCCAGCAGGAATCATGGATAATTGTAAGCCTCTACCTACCATTACTCAATTCCTATATTTGCTCCTCTTGCTTACCTGCTTCTTTATTAGCTGCTAATTGCAAGTAATTTTCAGGCTCTCTCTTTCTAAGAATTTTAAAAATGTCAGTATGATAGGGATTTCACCAGGTTACTTGTTCTGATTATGGTACATAAATGTTAAAAGAAAGTTGGGTTTTTTGTCTTGAAGAAAATGCTTTCGACTCTATGAGAAAAAAATGGAAAATAATAATGTATGAACAAACTTGATAATAATTTGCAAGTTGTGTGCTTGAAGTGTGCCGAATAACTTTTCTTTTACATTGTCAAACTGACTGGTTAAGAATGGTGCAGGCAGTATATTTATAGAGTTCATGTCTCATTCTGCTTTGGACTCTTGTTAGAATCAGCTATGTTCAGAAATACCTGACGCTAATTTGAGGTGTTCATGTGTTTGTAAATTTATAGAAAATTGATATCCTCAATCTTTCATTTGAACAAGTGGCATATGAATTTCTTTTAAATTTGGAGACCCGGATGATCAGCTAACAAATTGATGAATGGAACCTCTTTAATTATTATTTCCTAGAAAACCTATAAAGATCTTCAACCTGTTGTGGCAATCAACATTACTGCAGGGATTAATAATATGATATTTCAGAACCAGAAACATTTCTTTATGACTCTCAAGAAATATTTGGATTTACCAACCAAATTTTGAGGCATTTTAGATTTTTAAGATATTGTACAGAAGAAAATGGCAAATTACCTTGTTGCCCAAAATGCTTCATTGTTGCATTCTATTTTTGGAAGAAAAAAAATCAGTCAGTCCTCTCCACTGGACAAGGCCAGCATTGTAGGTTAGTGAACCTTTTCACAACAGATCAATCATTCATAATTCAAGTTGACTGCTTTAAAAACTGCTAATTTTTCTACAACAAGCTAGTAGATAGCTTCCTTTGGATAGTTGTGAGTGAATGGAGCAAACCTTATGGCTTTTTGTGTCTTTTTACAGATATGTCAAATCTCAGGTGGGCAGTGACCGACCACAACTTCCAGTTCCATGCACTTTCACACAATCATCAAGAAGTCCTACCCCACTTGATGATTGTATGAAAGTGTATGGAACTGAAAGTCGTGGTCAGTCACTGCCCACTTGAGATTTGATTTAAAATATATTAAATCTCTGCTATTTTTATGACAGTGAGCATTTTTTCCCAGTGTGTGATCTTAGGCAAACTCTTTTGGAAGCTGCTTATTATTTTTATATATATATATATATATATATATATATATATATATATATATATATACACACACACACACACACACACACACACACACACACACACACACACACACACACAACTTTGTTTCATTTTCAAAAGGTACTTTCTGGCATAATTATCATTAAAACAACTTTCTTGTTTCAGTCCACTCTCATTTTTAACTTGAAAGGACCTGATAAAGTCCTCAATACTGGTTAAATCACAGTTAAATCATATTTCATTGATCCTCTCACTAGTTATTTTTTTTAATTTAAATATGGTATTCTGTTATTTTAATTTTCATATTAAATGAATCTATAAAAAAAACAAAACTATTTAATCACTGTATGATAGGTTATCTAAATAAAGTCTTTCTTCATCTTATTGATGTTGCTCAAAAACTTAATCCCTATCTTCATAAGTATATCCAGTTAATTTCAAGCATTACATGTTTTTTCCATAAGCAGTGAATATTAAGAAAAATTGACTATTCTTGTTTCTGAAACAAAAACTAATCCATTTTCTCCCTTTTGGCATTTTTTATTTTAATTTTTTCAGGAGTTGGAAAAATTCACCTATTGTGATAAGCTATCCAACATTCTAACAAGTGTCTCCACAGTAAGTAAATTTCCAAACCATTTTGGTTTTTTTTTTTTTACAATATTAAATGGCTGCTAAAATATGTCTTATTTCTGGCATGAAGAGTTATTTACATATGGACAATTAGCTTGTGTGAAAACCTCTGTATTATACTTTGTTTAATGCAGAAACATTCTGTAAATTGTGAATAAGCTTTAAGAAGTCTACCAATTAAACTTTTATTACAACAGTCTCTGGAGGCTGTTGTAGTAAAAGAGAAGCAGCCAACATTAAATAAAGTTTCTTTCTCTATAGGGGATTGTATAATGAAGTGTGTTTTCAAAAAACAATACAAATTCTAGTTTTACTATTTAAATGTCACCTTGAGTGACTTGAAATTGTTTCTTGCAAATGTGAGATCACCAAAATTAACCAAAAGCAGTTATGTAAACATAACACACACAATCCTTGAAAATGAATGTAGCAACATTGAAAAATACTTGGGAGAAAAAAAATAATATAAAATAAATATGAACTTTGAAAAATTTACTAATAACATAAAACAGCTAATCCAAAATTTTAAAAATTTTAAAAAATTTGATAGTTGTCAATATTATTCAACCAAATATGTTTGAAAGAATTATTGCTGTTGAACTACACTTGTCTTATATATATATATATATATATATATATATATATATATATAATCTTCTCTCTCAATTTCTAACACCTGGCTTCCATTATGTGAGTAAGAATTTCTTTTCAGGTTTACATTTTGTTATAACCTCAGATCTCGTGCTTAGTAAGTTCCTGGATTCTTTATACATAATTATTGCCAACTTCTCCAGACATAATCTGTAAAACTTTGATCCTTTTTCATAGCTTACTGTTTATTTTTTTTGGGTGGCTGTGTGTGGGAGGGGTCTTCACTGATATATATTTTTATTTTGACAGACTTTGCTCTGCACTGTTGCCTAATATGCCACACTTCTGACAATTTCCTTTTAGAGGACACTTGTCTGGATCTCTACAGTTTGAATTTTTGCTCTTCTCTCTTTTGTATAAAGATCTAGTAGACCAATAAAAGACCAATCACTTACCTATAGGGAACAAAAATGGTGAGGAATGTCAATAAATATTAAGTAGGCAAATGGATATCACAGAAACTCTAAAACCAATTGTCATTGGCTGAAAACAAAAAAAAAAAAACAATAAATAGCTCAGGCCAAAATTTGCAAATTTATTTCACAGAGGCAAGGAAGCTGGCTGGAGGTGATCGTTTCTGGTTGGATTACCTGGGAAAGGGATTTTGATTTTTTTTTTTTTTTTTAGACACCTGAAAATCCCCAATGACGCTAGGAGTTTAACATCAGTGATGAAGATTCTCAGTTTACCGCAAAAGTGTTTGAGATTGATGTATGCACCTGAAAGGCTAGTGATGTGGGTGCACTATCCATGTGTTGCATTCCCAATGACAGTTTTTCTAAGCCAGACAAGTACAAAAAGTGTCACCAAACCATATTTACATGCCAGTGTGTGAGGTGTCCATGTACAGATATCTTTGCTTTGAAAGATACTGCATTCAAGGTAGACAACACTAGAAACTTCACCAGTTAGTAAATTTCTTTTTCTCATTCATCATGTTTATTTTTTACAGAAAACTTAGAAACACTGCAACAAAACAGTTCACATCAGCACATTTTGCCTTCATTTCTTTAATTCCAGGCAGAATTCTCAGACATTGATGAACATATGCACAAGTTACAGGTTTTCAAGGTTACTAAGTGCACAAAATTTGGTGTCTTTCAGAAAATGAATGAAGTAAAAAGGAAGTAATACTGCATGTAGAACCTAAAGAAAAATAGACATGCCAAGTTAAAAACAATACATTTAAGATTTTAAAAAGTAACAAGACAGATTTATCTTCATTTTAATGACATTTTAGAATGTAGAGTAGCCAAGCAGAGCATAGTCTGCCAAAAATCTGTTGGACTATAAATACAAGAGTCATGGAAGATAGGGCCTTTTTATCAAGAGAACCATTTATCAACCACACAATGAAACCTTTCATAAGAATCTGTGGCCAGCTCTCCTACACAAAAATGCAATTCTTGTTAAACAAAGAGCCACTTACCAAGAACAAAACCTCAGAAGATGCTGCTACTGATGATTTCACACAAATATTCTTTCTTCCATGTTTTCTTGTATTCCCCCTTCACATTGTACAATATATTTTGTGTGATGTCCATATGTTTATATATATATATATATATATATATATATATATATATATGCACACACACATACACACACACTGCCAACAATCAGTTTCCTTATTCATTTATTTCATTGAAAAAAAGTTATCACTGGTGCTAAGTGAGATATGAAGTTAAGAATTCAACTGTTTACTTTTCTTCTGTACATAATGCACAGTGCAAACCAAAGACTGTTTTTGTTTTAAAGAACAAGTCTTTGATTCATTGTATCCTCACTAGTACATTTCCTTGGTATATCTTTTAGTAAAAAATTGAATCCACTTTTAATCTAACAAAAGTCAAGAATATAATCTATTGTATTTTCCATGGTAACCAAGTTTACAGATAAAGACTTTTTTTTCCTGGTTGAAACCAAGTATGTAAAGAACTTCATGGACTGTAAGATTGTTAGTTTAAGAATATATTAATACTTAGAATCTATAATTGTTCCATAACTGAAGCTTTATAAAATGGGATGACTATGGAATCAAAAACAAAAATATTTCATCGACTTTGCTGGAAATTAAAGAAAGTAATTTTTGACAGTAATTTATCTGAACCTCAAATGTTATTTTTAAATACTTTACTGCACTAGGGACATACAGAAATCATACCTGCATAATGAATACAAATTTAAATGTAATACCAGATAAAACCTACCAATGGCAGACTAATTTATGTACAATAAAAATCAATAGCAGATTTTCTACAAAATGTTTAATTTGATATTGGTTTGTTTCAGTTATTTGAAACCAGATCAATTTTATTTATCACTTTTAAAATTATTTTCTAATTTAAGGATTTTATTCCAAAGAACTCCCATTCATGGCCCCAAGACTTGGTAAAAACATTAGTAGAATTAATCTGTTGTCAATTAGGTAAGTATGGAATTATTTTTAATTTTTTTTTTTTTTTTTTTTTTTCAGATTAAAGAAAAAAAAATTCTAATTATGTTCTCTCTCTTTTTTAATATTAAAAAAATATGGAGTCATTTTGATGAGTATAATAAGGATTTACATTTTAATACATTACTACCCTGTCATTTTTATGATGTACAGGACTTGCTTAGTAAGCTTTGTTGAATATTTGAGAACAGCAATCTTTAACAGGATTTCTTTAAAGCACATCCAAACTGATTTCATAGACATGTCAGATTGCCAAAGATTATGAAAGAAATGGATAACAGGCTGCAGAAGATGGGTATGATAAGTTGAAGGTATAGGTCTTTTAAAATCAATGTTCAGCCGTTCAAAGGACATGTTTGATTTTTATTTTATTATTTGAAGATCTGTTTTTACAAATCTGTGTTTAATTCCAGAGCACATGCAGCATGAATTGATCACTATTAACATTGGCTATGGAGTATGGCATATTTTTGCTTCTGCTAAAATGTAACTTTCTTGTATTTCTTGGATGACACAAGTCATATACACAATATAGCAGCTCATTTTCATTATTAGTAGAGGAGTATATCCAAACAGTGGCATTCTGTTTGCCTGTGTAATGCACATTCAATCATAACTGTTGTTAGATAGTTCCAGGCTCCACTTTGTAAATTTCTCATTTGTTCTTTGTTCTAGTATTGAGCATGGAAGAAAAAAAAATTAATCTAATTTACTAGTACTTATTTTCTCATTAGCATCTGTTTGCTGGAGTACTTTCAATATTAAGACAACTATTAACAGATTGTTGTTGGGACTGATGTTTTATCTATGTAAAAAAAATAAATAAATAAAATTGCCATAATGCCAAATGTTTTTACAAATGTTGACTTCATCAGGATTTGAACATGCTACCTTTTGATTGTGTGCTAAGAGCTTTGACAGTAAAAACAGAAACTCTTAAATTATCACTGAAAATAGGTATAGACTCTGAGCTACCAGAATCTACTCGTATGTTCATTAGTTTGTCTTGAACTTTGCTAAATAAAACACCATGAGTCTCAGAAAAAACTCAGTAGCAAAAAAGTAGGACCTATTGCCAGTTGCAATTAAAGTTGAGTTTCTTGAGGATCTACAAACTCTAGAGAAATGCCCTTAGAGTTATTAAATAGAGAATCCTTTGCAGGACATGTTGATCTCATATGATGTAAACTATAAAAGAAGCTATTGAAAGCTGTTGACTTGTCAGAACATTTAGCAAAACTATTTAAGTCTTTTTGTTAACATTGTAAAGGTAGAAGCATTAAGAGAATCATGTTGAATATAGGAAAAAGATAAAGAAAAAAAAACTCCAGAATGAGGATTATAAACAGTTTATAGTCAAATATATTGTTCTCAGACAGCCTTTGCCTTATATAGTTTGACAATAAATCATTAATAAATACATCTTCAATATATTAATTTTTGACTTTGTTTATACTTCCTGTTGAATGTCTCTAAAATCTACAAAATCTCTCTCATTGATGAGAAGCTAGTATATGTTGAGAAATTATATTTTTAGGTTTGATTAATATTCCTCCTAAAATATTAATACCAGATTCATAATTGTAACAGACAGATATATATTTATAGACTTACTGATGTAGTGAGGTTAATAAATGGATAAATTTTATCAGTGTTTGAAAATTGGGATTGTAGCTTTCAGTAGTTAAAGTGAATTCAAGTGCAACCAAAAAAAAGGTCTGAAATAATTTGAAATAATGACTCTATTGCTGCTTGCTTTGCTGAATGCCACTCTTACTCTGGTCTGTGTCAGTTGGTCTGTCCCTGGCAAGCCTACTCTGCACCAATCCTTCACCCCAATGTTGTGTTTCAGTATATGCAGGAATATCTGTGAAGAACTGTTAAAGATCAGCCTTGACTCCTCTTTCTCCTGCCTATCCTTGTGAAAGACCAAAGTCACCAGTGTTGCCAGCTAACTTAATTAACTTCAACGACACCCATTAACAAGTAAAAATAACAACCTTTACTTATGGTACTATGATTGATCAATATCATAAATACATAAACAAAATGGATTTTAAGAAGTTTCCCCGTATAAGGAATTATTAAGCTGGGAGGAAGAGGTTGACTGGCAATTGCAGTTATGGCTAAACAGCCCAGAGTCTTTCAACTATTTAAGTGAAAGCGGTTAATTGAGGGAATTCAAAAATAAATAAATAAAAATAAAAAAGCAGTGTGGAGAACAGGTCTTTAGCCGATTGAGGCGCCATGGTCATCCAGCAGGGAAAGTGTTGGTCTACTAGTGACTCGACCAGTTTGATCTTACTTTGCTCTTCTGGTGACTATGGGGATGCAAACCCAATTGCACTGCTCTGATTGGCCAGCCAATAATAATGCTTGACCAATGGTCTTGTGCCATATACCTTGAAGAGAAGGAAGGAAAGCTCCCAAGAACACCAATATGATTGGTGGTCCAATCAAAATAATGGCTCTGTGTTGTAAGAATTTAAGGAGAGATGAGAAGCTCTAACCCAGTTCTTCTCTCATTGGTAGACTAATCAAAAATAGTAGGTCTTGTATTGCTCATATCCAGCTTCAGTGGAACATTTTCTATGTTCCAGAATCTCACCCTCATTTAACCTGATTATCACAGTGGTCATCATCAGTTCTATCTGAAATTGTGTTATATCCCTGATCAAAACAAATCTGACCTATAAAGATTTCCTTTCTGTCACTCATTTTAATGAACAATTCCTTTTATCAAAGTTAATCACTTAAGTTAAACAGACCTAAAACCTAAGGCTGTACCTAATGACTAATCCCACCCAAGCTTACAATTTCACTTCTCACATTATACTCAATAAATGACATAAACCAGATAATTCGTGGTATCGTATTGTTTTAACATGAAAATATTTTTCTTTCTCTTAATATATAAAAAGTGGATTGCCATCCAACCTTTGACATCAGTCATGGTGTCATGCACTAATGTTCCACTGATTGTTAGTATTAGGTGTTAATGGATCTAAATCCAGACAATCTGACTTAAAGAACCATTCCATTTTCTTACATTCAATAAATTGCAGTGGTATTATTTATATACAGGTTGAGTATCCGTCATCCAAAATTCTGAAATCTGAAAGTTTTTCAGATGCTGACATGACTTGGCACAAATGGAAAACTTCAGAAAGCACTGGCAAGGTTCCTAGGTGATGTGCAGCTGTTGTAAGTGACCCTCATCTGTCCTGGGTGGGCATTCCTCAGTACAGTTACATAGCCTATGTTGGCTCCAGATTTATGTTAATGATTGTCACAGCAACACCTTTGTTTGTGGATTACTTACCATGTAAAGATATTATTAAAAATATCAAGGTCCTGGAGATACCCATATGGGTGGTGAAAAGGAAAAAGGGAAGTATTTGTTTATTAATATCACAAAGTCAATCTGTTGGAAAAATTAGATGGGGGTGTAAGTATGAATCATCTGACTGAGGAGTTTGGCATTGGAACAATCACCATATATGATCTAAAGAAACAAAAGGAGAAATTGTTAAAGTTTTATGCTGGAAGTGATGAACAGAAATTAATAAAAAATAGAAAAACACTGCACAGAGCAAAAAATGATAATCTCTATAGTGGATGCAGTGGATTCATCAGCAATGGTATCAACATATGCTGATTATATGAAATTACCTTCAGGCTATATAAAATTGATAATATTGTATAATGAACTGCTTTTAAAAGGAAACCAATGGGTTTATGGGTAGTTTAATTGAATATAAGAGAATTATATTTAACAGGATGCTATTCAAACTTAATGCTTCCAGAGTCACTTAAAGCTACACACCAAAGGGAAGTAACTGTTAACTTTCAGTATATCATTCTACATAGTTATATAATTTAAAAAGTTTTTTTTAGCCTTATTGCTCTATATATATATATATATATATATATATATATATATATATATATATATATATATATATATATATATATATATAAGCAAAACCTTACAACAATCATTGTAACATCTGCAACCTTTGTCAAAAAGAAAAATTAGCTATAATAACATTTCCAGACCAAAGTCTTTGGAATGATAGATTGGATATTATGTCCTGACAAACATACTAAAAGTTCCTTCTGAGTTCATATGAAGTGGGGTGAAAAGAATGTATATTACATTTTAAAAAATATAGTGTTCATAATTTTTATTTATTTATTTTTTCCTTAATATAAAGCATTAGGAAATTAGTTGACTGAAATTGCCTGAAGACACTGAAAGGTTTGAAACCAAGGTAGCAGAATCAGCTGATCTAATTTTTTTATACTTAAAAACTCTACATGTTAAATTTTTATTTTTTTTGTGTGTATTGAGCACTTTTTAATACTTACTGTTTCCTGGTCTAATTCAACTCTGACCATTTTAACTTTTTTTCATCAGCATGACAGTATTAATTGAAAGTTGCTGAATTTCTGTGAAGAATTGTTAATATTTATAGTTGAAGTAATTTCTAGGGCACCTAACTTGTCGTAGTGATTTTATCCTTGGAATCAGTTTCTGTTCCATAGAGCCAGAATATATGGTTTTCATTGCCTGACCGAGATATTGAACTCACAACCACCAAGTAAACTATGTACACTTAATTAATTTTGATATACACAGGTCATTGTCTAATTATTTTCTTGATCAAATGCTATGTTATATGGTGTTCAGTTTTATGTTAGGTCTACTAAGAAAGTTATCATAGCTTGACATATGAACTGATTCTTTTCGTTGCTTTATTTGCCAGTATTACTTGGTATTTACTCAGATTTTGTTCTATAGATATTGTTGATTTCCTTCACTTTTTGGTATAAAAATAATTGTGTATCTATTTGATTTTATTTCATAAAATGGTTTCTTATTAACTACTTTGTTTTTTTTTGTTTTTTAAAAATACTTATTAATAAATGTTGTTCCTGTTTTTCATTTTTATTCTGAACATTTTCTATCTAATCTATTGACTGCTGCTATTTTTCCTCAAATTGGTTGGCAGGTATTTTTATTACTTTAATTTCTGCTCATTACTATTGCTTAGGTTTTTTTTATTTTTACTTATTCTTACATTCTGATGAAAACATGAGTTACCTCCACTCACTGTTATTGTCCTGGGTATGATGATAAATTACATCCACATAGTGGGTAAGACGACGAGCTGTGTCCAGCAGCAAGGCTTCTGATCAGGAGGTTTTGATGAGCATGGAACCACTTCTTAATTGCTAGTGTTCCCAAGTCCACCCTGACCCGAGGTGGTAGCACCTGTTGGGGTCCCAGCTGTGGGCAAATAGTTAACACCCAAACTTGTGTAAAAATAGGTTTTAATACCAGAAATACTATGTAATAAAAAAAATTAATACCAGCAATAATTTTTGAAGGAAAAATTATTATCAGCAATACTTAAAAAAAAAAAAAAATACCAGTAATACAGTTATACATTCTTTGAAAAAAATATGACCAGCTTTAGATTTCTTCAAGGAAAAATATTCCCAGAAATAGATTTTTGAAGAAAAACATATTACCAGCAAATAAAATTACATTCTTTGAAATTAAATAACCTATTGAGGTTGATATGCCATAAAACCAAACCAAATCCATTCACTGTTACTAATTAAATGATAACACATTAAGAAAATACGATTAATGTTTTTGTTTGCTAAGCAAATATTGATCATTTAAAAATGTTTTAGTAAACTATTTTCGTCATTCATGTGTGTGTCTATGGTACCATCTTATAATTTATAAAAATGTTTTCATGTGAAACCTTGTCAGATCTTCTTCTTTGGTAACTTACAAAAAACATTTTATCTTTTTGTAAAAGCTGCATTTCAAACTTTTCTGTACATACTGTATCCTCATCATCACATAGGCTCATTAAATATTTTTGAGATCTGCAATGCTGATGCCATTATTATTATTATTATTATTATTATTATTATATAAGGCTGATGAAAGAATTGAAAAAAAGAATATAATATGAATTATTTTATATTATTAGGCCATTAGACAAAAATGAAGTATGAGAAAAATGTTAAAAATCAGAATTTTCATTGAGAAAGGATACATTTGTCCAAAAGTTTGAATTTTTTAGATTTTTCTCATGCTTCTATTTTATCTAATGGCCTTATAATATACAATAAATATTATTCTGTCCTTTTTTACTTTCATCAACCTACTATACCTACATTTTGTAAGAAACCTACATGGACAAACTTTCTCTTATATAATGTTAAAATAGAATTTTAACTTGTATTATTTGATATTTTTATATTTGAATTTCAGGTCAGAAACAGCGTGAGTCTACTCTGATATTAGTATCAGTGGTGGCTGAAAGTCTTGGAATAGAATTCCTGATACCACCAAATACTAGTGATAATCGACCACTCCTCTTAGCAGTTAATTTATGCTCTGTTGAAATTGGGATGCTTTTTCCATTTTCTCCTATTGAACAGGTAAACTTTAGAAATTTTCATAACATTTAAAAGGTATTTTTGTATTTATTTAAAAAAAAAAAATGCTGGTTCCTTTGAAAAATATGCTTTTTACTTAAGTGATGTAAATGAAAAGAGGAAAAGAATATGCACTTTCAAGATTTAAAAATCTTTTTTAATCTGATTATTTTTATAACTTTCTGCATTCAGTTAAAATATATATATATATCTCTCAAGATTTATTGAACCTTATCAGATATGTATTTCATTTAGATGTATCAAATTTCTAAAGCTATTTGTAAATATTTAGTTGATTATGGAAAGGCATTGAACTGAGTTTGTTGATTTTGTTTCAGATTTTGGAAAAGGTTCATTTACTGTGTGGCTACTTTAGTCTTGTTGAAAACACCATAAAATTTCTTGTCAGTAGTGAAGAAGGTCCTCCTTTGGATGCCAACCAAATTATTCAGATTCATTCTTGCCTTAAAGAGACCGTAAAATGTGTCATGATATTCCTTAGTGACACTGCCAAAGCAGATAACTCTCTCAAGGTAAACAATACTTATTTATACCTTTTTGATTTATTAGTAGATGCAGTACTCTTCAATATTGGTATGTCAGTGAAAATAATTTCATGACAATCATGTAAAAAAAAAAAAAAAAAAAAAATTAAAGCAATTTCAAGATTTATTTTGTTGAATTACTTTAAAATGCTTAATATTTAAAAATTTTATTAAGATATAAATTGTCTTCGATCATTTCAACAATATATTTTCCTGTTTATAAATATTTGCACTTGTTTGTTGTTAATTTCATAAGTTTTATATAATATATATTTTTGAAAAATGCTGATAAGATTTTAAGTGGATATTTTATGGTTAGCTTTTAAATGAAATAAATTTAGACACATATTTATTTATATATGATTTTTGAGTAACTGTTTATTATATACCTTTACCTACAAACTAATATAATTATCTTAGTTGTTATATTTAATCTTTTGGCTGTTTACTCTCTAACCTTCAACACTTGTCTGTCAAAGTCAGTAACAATCTTGAAATTGTGATGCAAACCCTTTATTGAATTTACTGGGTAGATTGTTCTCATCCTGTTTATGTTTAGGGAGTATTGTGTATCAGTTAGTATTCTCCAGTCTATTTACATCTGTGTTGCTTGCAACTAAACCAAAGTATATGAGACACCTAAGTTCAATTAAAATATTTGTTAAAATATATCTGCTATCCTGGTATTTGTGAGTTCATGCCTGAGTTGGGTAATAGAGAAAAGGCTCTCAAGAAGGCTGGAGAGTATAATGGCAGAAACAAATGTATGTTCATCCAAACATAGAAATAATGATAATTACTCATTATAAAAATTCTGATGTAAATTTGTAATTGTTTAATTTTATTAATTAATTTATTTTTCAGGCCACAGATCCATTGATACAGGCTTGTGTCCGACTTGTTGGAATGTGGATGAGAGAAGAAAGAGAATCTTTAGAAGAAGAAATCTCTCAACTTCTCCCTGTTTTATTAACTTTTAGGTTAGTATAATTTTGACAAGAAAACTTCTTGGTGATTTGAAAACAATTTTTTTGATTAAATCAAATTACCTCAATAATGGATATATTGGATATAAATCGACTGGGTGAAAAATGCCTGTTTTCACTGAAGAATTATAAAATGTTTCGTTGATTTGAATTTGTTAAAAGCTGATTAACATTTTCAGAATGAGATGATATAAATTTATATATACTCTAGAAGTACCAAGTGTTGAATAATACAGAACTATGTGTCCTTCTTATTTTAAAATTCCTTTCAAAAATTTGTTACACTGAAGATGTTAAAGAAAGGCTGTGTTTGAAAGAATCAGACTCCTCATTGGATTGCTCAGATGGAATTACAGGCAACCAAACACAGATTTTTAGACAAAAAAGGCTTATCCTATGTGCTGCTCCCTCCCCCTACTTTGTAGGAATTATGCTAAAATAGTTATTGCACTCACATTGTAGCTCCCTTGCTATTTTAATTGAATTTCATCTCTTCACCCTCTTAACACAAAAGACACTCCATTTTGTTAGTCAGTGATTGCAAATGATTTCAATGGATTCAAGTGGATGAACTAAGTTAAAGATATAAAATAAATTATCTCTTTATTTGTTTGATCTTTTTTTCTTTCTGAATGAAAATTTCAGTTATATATTTTAGTGATACAGCCCTTGTTCTTAGCCTCTGGACTGGGATCAGAGTGCAGTATATACTCTTCACCTCTCTACTGTGTCTCTCTCTTTCTCTCTCTCTTTCTCTCTCTCTCTCTGGACCAATCACAAAAGAGGATTGGGAGCTTCCTGATCCCGGGAATTTCAACCCTGCAGTAGCACTTCCTTCGCTGCATTAAAGTGAGTTGGTGAACTGTCTGGGCAGTTTTTTGTCCTAATCTCGTGTGTACATGCATGGGCACCCCAAATTTAAAAAAAAAAAAAAAAAAAATTGTCGTATCCCACCACTGTGGGTGGTGGTATATGACACTATGGTATTTTCTTGCCTCCCCACATACAGTGGGGAGACAAGAAAATACCATGTTATTAAAAAGGTGGGCAACAATTGACAGTTATTTTAAGCAGGCTTAAATTTGACTTCAGTGCATGATTTCCTCTCAGCACAATTTACTGGTTCCCTTAAATCTTTTATCCTCTCCATATACGTTTTGTGCTGTTGTTGCAGTGTAAAATATAAATTCTCTTGGCTGCTGTAGATTTCACTTGAATCTGATTAATAGTGGGTCTAATATGAATGATTTGCAATAGGCACTGTCTATAATTTTGTGATGTTATACAGTCTAATAGAGCACAAACCTGGAAAGTAAAAAAAAATAATTGAAAGAATCAACATGTTAGATCAATGTGAATTTTAATGTATTATGACTTTGTGTATAATATGGAATTCTTTGCTGAAATACATCCCTGTGAAAACATTTTGAAATAACTTTACAAACATTTATATGAAGGTTATGAATTTTTTATTTGCTATTGTTCTCTGCATGACTGAAGAGACATTGCTTCCAAACAAATACTACACATAAAAGAGGTCATAGAATAGATTGGTTAAAATATTGTGAGAAAACAACACATTTTTGGGGTTTAAATCTGACATTACATAATTATCAAACTCATGGATCTCCTTAAATAGAAAAAATTTGATAGATTTATATATTAATACACTACCTATTTTCATATGTAAAGTGTTTGTGAAGATCAAAAAGAAAAAAATATTAAAGTCTTACTCCATTTACATTATCAAAGGGGGTAAAGGAGTAACAGAGCTCAAGACAACAAACCTGTCTGCCTTTCTTTTTTCTCCATCACTTCCTCTTTTCTGTTCTGATTTTTCTAGCTTTTTTACCTTTCTTCCTTCACCTTTTCTTTTGCCATCTTTCTCTTCATCCTGGCTTTTCCTAATTCTGTTATGTGGAAATAAACACTGAGGCATTTTGATGCTGTATTGTTTATGTGATGTGTTACTGATTACCACCATTTCTTTTCTTTTCTAGTGAGGATTTATTGAGTTTAGTTGAAGAAGAAAAGCTGACTCCAGATAATGTGGTTGTACTGACTTTTCTTTTCGAGGGCCTGTGTCAATTAGGCAGTGATAGGGAAGGTCGAGAATTATTGTTACGATATCGAGCACACATTCCATTAGGTCAGTATTTGTTGCAAGGATTAAACCAACTACACCAAACAGATGAAAACACTCAGGTTGGTTTTTTAATATTTAAAATGTTTTTCCCACATTTTCTTTTTTTTTCATTTCAGTTAATTCTATTAAAAAAAATCTAGTCGATAGGAATTATTAACAGATTTGAATACTTAAATAGTTGTTGTCATTTCAATTGATTTGCAGCATTTAAATTTCAACTAATTAGGTGTATGATATTTAAATCTATCATGAAAGGTCATTTAGTTTAGTAATATTTTTCAGTAATCTATATAGAATTGTATTTACAACCTCTGTTGTAAATAATGCTTTGCCATTTAAAATGTATTACCATAATATTTGATAGTAATATTCATAATTTCTTCATTTTTGTAAGTTTTTTTTTTTTTTTTTGTTACATGGCCAAATAAATATTGAGTAAATGTAATAAAATTGCTTTTGTGTAAATATAAATTTCTTGTAAAAAAAGAAAAAAAGATGGTAAATGATTATTGAAAATAACTGAAGCTATATTTATTGTAAATTGTTTCAAACAAAGGATTTCTATATATATATATATATATATATATATATTTTTTTTTTAATTTATGGGCTTAGAGGGACTTTAAATTAATTGTTATTAAACATTTATCAGAAATATCTAAATAATATGTAATAAAAGGGTTGTTTTTTTTTTTTTTTTTTTTATAAACTGTTTTTACATTTTTTGCAGTTGTGTGTAGAAGTTATGTGTGATCTTCTTGTACAACTGATAGAATCGGATGCAACAATGATAGCTTCAGAGCCATTGTATATTAGTGTAATGCACAAACTCTCCCAAGTATTGTCTAATATTGGTAAGTTAAGAAAAAAAAGTACAATTTTATTTAAATTTTGTATCTTGATATTAGGAATTGAAACAATTGTTAATAATGATTTGAAGCTAAAAATGTACATGCTATAAGTCTTATAACATTTTAACAAAACTCTAGAATTTATTGTATTTTTTTAAAGTTTTTTATAAGGTTGTCAGTTTAATTTCTTAATTGCTTCATAAAAAGAATTTATACATTTTAATCAACTTTACCTTAATTGTAATGATGTAATTAGATTTGCAGATTGTTTTAAAGTTAAAATGAGGATTTTTAACTTTACAGGAAATGTGCAGCAGTCAAAGATTTTTCTAACCTTCACAAACTACCTTACATGCAAACTGCTAGTAGCCCACTGGTGGACTGCTGATGGCAAAGCCAGCAGTCTTCTGGTGGCAGCCACTGGTATACCTCCAGTGGTAACATTGCTGAGATGAACACACCGATTGGTGGCTTGTGTGTAGGATATGAGTAGTCTAGATAGCTGAAATGTGTAGCAGTAAGAATTAAAGTGTGTAATTCAAAATTTTCAAGTGTAGTAGAACTCCAAGCTGTGTAAAATGCTACACAAAATGTGTAACACAATGGAATGTCAACCTGTAACATAACCAGGTTGACATTCAGTTGTATTTTAGTCTTCAACACTTTGATTTCTTAACTACTTTCAACTGATCCATGTGACATGAATTATTGGAACCAGCTGTAGCTTTTCTTTCAACATCTCATCTGTCAAAATATTAAAAGATAAATCATAATGTTTGCATTTTTGAAATTGATGAACATTCACTTTGTGTGCATATGCATGCCAGTTTCAGTCCTTAAAAATTCTTAACATGGTCCTGGAAAAGGCTTTGAAAAGTCCTGGAATTTTTTTTTTTACACAGATCTGTGGAAGCCCTATTTGTATTTTTGTATATTTACACTTAGCAAAATTATTGATGACCAGTTTGTTTGCAAAATTCTCTTTGGAACAAGATGTTTATAGCATTTTCATTCAAGAGTACATTATAATTGGTATTTTACTGTTTTTTTTTTTTTTTTTTTTTTCTTTTTTCTTTTTCTTTTTTTTTTTTTCTAGTATTTGAAAGTGAATCAGTAAGTCTTGGAGCTGCCGTATCATTACTGGGTTTGAATCTTTTACAGCTTCCTCTCTTGGCCAAAGGTGAGACCTGCATGTTATGTAAACATATCTTTTACTCGATTCTCCCCCATCTTCTCATGCTGGTTTATTTGGGCTAAATATACATTTTTCATTTGTATTTTAAAATTTATTTTATTCTTAAGCAATATAGGTATTAACATATGTTAGCCATATCTTTTGATTAGTTATGAGTTGAGGAAAAAGTTTAAGCAGAAATTTTTGTGCAGTATTTATCAAACATAATTTTTTTTTTCATTCCACTTCAAACAATATTTGGATAGAGGTAGAAAATGTTAAATACAATGAAGCAATCAGAAGAAAATATCTTGAAATATTTTGAAGACCTGATTATGAAATGGTTTGATAATTTTATAATTTTTGTCATGATAATTTCATATTTTTTCTTGCAGAACTTGAAGAAGATAAGCAACAATTATTTTTGAAGACTGTCATTATTTTTCTTAGTCGTGTCCATGTTCTGTCAACTGGTTCAACTAAAAGCAATAAACTGCTGATCAGTGAAGACTATTTGCCCCATTGGGAAGATATTTCTACTTATTGGCTCTCTGCTATGCATGGTAATTTTTATATTTTTCTTTATTGAACTTATTCGTTAGACAAAATATTGGAATAATTACTTAAAATTTTTTTTTTTTTTTTTTTTTTAAATAAGTGTGGAAATTTGGGACCGTGTAGTTTTGTATAAGATTCAAACTCCTATCCCATTACCATAGAAGATTCTAATACCATCTTGGTTTCTGCATCATGATATATAAACCAATTTCTTCTTTTACCTCTGTCTTTGATTCTTACTTCATTTGTAACATTTATTTTGAATAGACTTCTAATAAAGTAGTATTAGGTTGATGCAAAAGTTTCTAGCATTTTTGATAAATCAATAAAAGATTTATCAAAAATTATTCAGTTATCATCATTATTCAGTTAATCTTACATCACCTTTCAGGTAAATTGTATATTTTCATCATAAAAATGATTCCAGTTTTAATTTGATATATTCCTCAAAAAGTCATAACTCATAACATCAATAATCCAGGGGCACCTTGATGTGGTGTTGGCAAGCTGGTCTCCCTAGAACAATTATGACTGAATATGCTCAGAAAATCCTCACATTAGTAATCCATTGCCTACTTTCTTTTGTCCTTTTCTCTAAAAGAAACCCCCTCAAAATAAAATTTTCACTTTTCTACAAACAATTTTTCAAGTATATACAGATACTATGAATAAAAGATGGATAAACTATAATAATATATTTCTAATATTGTCAAATACAAGAATTGGCTGGAAAATTTTGTATCAGAGTGTTTGCTGAAAAGTTCTCAATCCAGTACTCCCCCCCCCAAAAAAAAGTCCGTTTATTCATTTGGTCAGTTTGGAAATATTTTAAGCTGAGAATTTTTCAGTACCTCTTAATATTTCTTGACATATTTTATACCTTATTGAATTATATTTGCGTACAAGATATTCTTGATACAAACTCTAGCAAGGAATATTAATAATGTAGTTCTTGAAATCTAAATAGCAATTCTGTTATTGTTGAGCAGGAAAAATTTTATTTAACTTTGTTATATTGGTAAACCTTTTAAATGCTTCTAGTGATAAAAAAAAAATCACTATTATACAAATCTTGTTACTTAGAAAGTAATCATTCCTATAATGGGTCTTTTCTTATCAGTAGGACACCTGTAATATTTCTTGCTTTCTTATGTCATTATTGATTTAACAGTTTGAATATTTATTTTTTCTTTCATAAAAATTTCAGTTATTTTAGTTTGAGACTAATTATCAATATTAGCAATTTTTTTTAATTATATTTTTTTTCTTATGAATTTTTTTTTTTTTTTTTGTGTGTTATTGCAGTACTGAGTGCATGTGTGAGCGTACACCCAAAACTGATTGTTACTCAGTTGTTACAAAGTGGTTGGATTCCACGAATGCTCAAATTATTACATCTTGTACAAAGTGAGTATTTAGAATGAAATTGTTTGGTATAATAGTTTGTTGTCATTGTTTTGATTTTAATCTAACAGTTGTTTCTTTTGCATATCAAGTCTAACCTATGAAAATACACACTTTTTATTTTGTCTTTTTAGTAAAAAAAAAATGACATCAATTTTAGCACAATGATATGAAATTTGTCTGACTTGCATAAGTATTAACCTCCACCCCTCCAAACTTTCCACATTTTATAGTGTTACCAACTGAAATTAAGATTGACTTAAATGGTCTTTTTCCCATTTGATTTTTTATCATTTGACCAATGCAAAATTTATAGTGCTTTGAAAGTGCAAAATGCATTTTGTGACAAAAACAATTAGAACAACAATGCAGTCACCTCTTGAATGCCTAAGTGAGTGAATGCTTTATAGAACCACCTTTTGCTTCAGTTACACCTGCAAGTCTTTTGGGGAGATGTCTGTACAAGCTTTGTATAATTAGACTGAAATGTTTGACCATTCTACCTTATATAGCTCAAGCTCAGATTAGATGGAGACTGTCTGTGAACAATTTACAAGTCTTGCCACAGATTCTCAATTGGGTTTAGGTTTGGGATTTCACTAGACTATCCCAACACATTAATATATTTTAATCTAAACTATTCCATTGTAGTACTGGCTGTATGTTTAGGGCTGTTGTTCTGCTGAAAGATGAACCTCCACACCAGGCACAAGTCTTTTGCAGACTATAACCGATTTTCTTTGAGGATTGCCTTGTATTTGTCCCATTTATCTTCTCATCAACTGTTCAGCTTTCCTGATCCTGCTGAAGAAAATCATCCTTCATAGCATGATTCTGTCACCACCATGTTTAATGGTGGGGATGATGTACTTGGGGCGATGTGCAATCACATGTAGTGTTTTGTATTAAGGCCAAAAAGTTCAATTTCATCTGACCAGTGCACCTTCTACATGTATGCTGTCTCCTACATGGCTTTAAGCAAACTGTAAATGGGACTTCTTATGGCTTTCTTCTTGCCACTAATTCTATAAAGGCCACATTTGTAGAGTACACAACTTGTTGTTCTGTGGACAATGTCTTCAACCTGAACTGTGGATCATTGCTAAGGGTTATTTTTTGATAACCAAACCTTGCTTTATTCTTCTCCACAACTCTATATCTGACCTGTCTGGATTGCTCCTTGGTATTCACAATACAGTTTGTTTGGTAATGTTCTTTAATAAACCTTTGAGGCAATCCTGGAGAATGCTCAAAGATTGTATATTTTGTTCCATTCTCTTTTACTCAAAAGAAATTCTCATTATCAGGTGGTTACTATTAATTATGTGAATTCTGAAGGCAGTTGGTTCCACTGGATTTTACTCAGTGGGAGGTTGGTGAATACATATACACTCAAATTTTTATTTGTAAATAATATTGGCAAAGTAATTATTGCTTGGAACCACGCCAGAATAAATAGGGGTTTTTACCAAATTCCTCCCCTGTCATGCTTCATCACGAATGGTCAATACCAACTATGTGATTGTTCAGAGGCAATTGTAATTTTGGTACCCACATACTTTTGGGGACCCCCCCCCATTCCCAACACACATTTACTTTGATTTTCATCTTTTGAATTTACCAATCACTTGTCAAAATACCTATTGTTTAAATCATCATCACCATTGTCTGAACTCCCTAAACCTCACAGCTATTAAGGAAAACACTTATTTTAGACATGGTAATTGTTATTTCAATTTTTCCCTTCAAATCATTCAGTGTCATACAAAATCTACCATTCTCTGGCCTACAGTTTTCTTATTGTTACACACGTATATATTATTGATATTATTATTGTTACACACGTATATATTATTGATATTATTATTGTTACACACGTATATATTATTGATATTATTATTGTTACACACGTATATATTATTGATATTATTATTGTTACACACGTATATATTATTGATATTATTATTGTTACACACGTATATATTATTGATATTATTATTGTTACACACGTATATATTATTGATATTATTATTGTTACACACGTATATATTATTGATATTATTATTGTTACACACGTATATATTATTGATATTATTATTGTTACACACGTATATATTATTGATATATCAAACTTGTTTCAAAGTTGCCTCCACTCGAGTTATGTCAGGCCACTAAGCTTTTATATTTTAGTGTTTTGCATTTTTGTATATTATACAGTTTTATACAAATCTGATCAATTAAAATACATTTCTGTATTGTCTTATTGAAAATGGTTTCAAGAATAATTTGTTCATTAGAGAATTGTGTACTAATCTAATTTTGATATTAATAATAATAAAGATTGTGAATGTTTGATTCTTATTAGATATTAATCTATATTATGGTTGTACTATTGTTATATGATAGATATTTATTAGATATTAGTAATAAGAGATTATTTTCACACACAAAAATTTTTTATCTATGTGCACACATGCATGCACAACAAATCAAACTATGGCATTCCATAGGATAAATAACTATCTAGGCATTTTGAAAATATTCCATAATTAGAATCAACCCTAAACATTAAATACACTAGGTGTTGAATATAACCTCAATAAGCTAAGTGACAAATTTTATGTTTGTATTAATCCCAACCTACTGACATGCAATAATTTGATGTGGTATCTATTCCACAAATAGATTTCTGATGAAATGTTAAGCCATGTTAGAATTGTCTCCAGATGCAGAATCTTGCACGTGAATAAATCTCTCCATCACATTTCATAAATATGCTCAATTGGACAAACATAGTGGCCCTCACCATTCACTGGAAATGTCTAGAATGCTCATCAAGCAAATACTGGGCAACTGATGTCACATTGCATTATCTTGATAATATAGCCCAACATTGTTGTACATGAAGTCTCCGAATCTATGTAAATGGTCACAACAGTACAACATAGAAGTCATTGGACAGTGACATGTTTAGGTGGGTCAGTGGTTCCAACACATTTTTAATGAATACTTTCCCCACCATAGTATTATGGAATCACTGCCAGTCTTGTTGACAACTTGGGTTCATAGTTTCTTGGGGTTTGTGCTAAATTTGAATCCAACACTGAGACCAAATTAACTGAAAATATAATTTGAGTCATTGTTATTGCAGACATTTTTAGCCAGTTGCTTCCATTATGGGCCTGTGGTTAGCAACTGCACTGTTCATTTTGGGTGGTAATGTTTGTTAACAGACAATGACATCTTTAAAAACAATATAAACTAGATATAGTCCTGCTGGACAAACAGGAAAAGATTTGCTACCTTGTCCATTTGGCATGAGAATTTTAAGTAAAGAAAAGAAGATCGATAGCTACAATGATTTAAAGTGAAATTTTGAAAGTTTTTGAAGGACTAGCTGAAAGTAATTACCGTACCAGTGATCATTAGAGCACTGGGGTATTGTACAACAAACATAGAAAAAAAATTTGCAGATATTGAACTGTGAAATGTCTGCCTGCTTGAAATAGCCAGGGTAGGTATTTATCAGCATGTCCACATAGTTACAGAATGTAACACAAGGTTGAGGTTTAAATTAAAAAATATTGGATGCTGCCTGTTGATGAAAAGAATAAATGGCTGGTTTATTTTCTCAAGTTACCAGAGATGACCTGATAATAAACTTATCAGTACCTAACATCTTATGTTGTATGGAAGAAGATTACTTTTCTCTAAGGGTATTAGTGTTAATTTGAATACAGTCTAAGCTATAATTCAAATTTAATATTGCCAATTTCTTTTTCTTGATAGCATATTAGCATTAATCCAAATAATTGTAAAGGTATTTAAAAATTATGTACAATAAATTACTGATGGATTAATGAAATCATTTTGTTGTTTCAGAAGCAAGCATTTCATCTGAAATCAGCTCTGCTTACTTAGACCTATTGTATGCAATAGCAGATGCAGAGGAGATGGCTAAAGCTATCCTTTTGGAAGGTGAAGGAGTTTCTGTAGCAAAGTGAGGCATTTCTTTTCTTTTTTTTTTTTTCCTTTATTGTCTTTAAAATTACCTCCTAACAAGTTTCAAAATTCTTTTAGTGTATATTTTTTAAGGACTATGTGCTAAAAACAGAAATAAGAATCAACTGAACTTATTTGAGGTTGGTCTTAAACATATGAAAAATAGTTCAGCAATTCAACTACTTTCATCCTATGGTCCTGAGTGATTTTATAAGTGGCAATTTCTCTAACATCACAAATTGGATGCTGTTTTCAGTGATTGGCAACAACCAAAATCACTGGTTGAATACATCTGTACATTTGATTTCTGTAAAATGCATACATGCATGGCTAGACACCATCATTACACCCCCAAAAAAAAAACCTGTATATTGCAAAACACAAATAAAATTGAAAACACATGGGTTCAACAACTGTAGTCCTACCAAAATCAAGGTTTCATAATTAAAAGGTTATTCTTTGTTGGTGGTTCAGCATACAAGGTATCTTTTGTGGGAGCTGCTTGATATAAACTATATTATCCCTGCTGAATTAAACTTCAAAGTGTTGTTGATGTAATCACTGAAAAATGTCTACATTGTGCAAAGATCACCTTATGCAACAAGATCATGTGCTATGCAGATAACTTAGGAAAAAATTGTTGCATCTATCCCACACACTCAAATTGGCATTCTCTAATTACAAGAAATCATTTTCTAAAATCTGACCAATGTCAATTCTTTTAAGGAGTGGAGAACTTCAGCTGCACATTGTAGAATTCCTGAATGATAGTTTCTGAAATGAAGATGACTGTAGTAATAAATTTATTTTTTTCTCCATTATTTTTATTCACTAACATTCCAAAAAAAAATCTGTTAATAATATATTCTCTTTCATTGTTGATGACTTCTTACCAAAATTCCATGAGCTTGTCAATGCTTTGACTATAGAAATTACCCATACTTGACTTGAAGAATTCATTGAGAAATATTTTCAACTCTGTTGTTGAACACTACACTTCACAGATTGTTGGAAACAATTGAAAAAAGGTGATAATGTGAAGGTGTTAAATGAGAATACGGTGAGTGCAGAAGAACTTCCGGACCAAGTTCTTGTAAAAATTTAGTGATAGCTATATATTTATGCTAGTTTTACACCGTCTTCATTTTAAGACATTACATCCAGTTTAAATTAAAAATGTCATGGCTTTTGGAATTGATTAATGATACAAGGCAGGGGTATATCTGTACACAAAATGTATCTATGATAGCTGTCTTGATAGAATAAAAATCAATTGTTTTGAATGAAATTAAACTCCTCTTCTAATGCCATTTAACAACAAACATATTGTAAACATAGAATGGAGCCCATTCCTAGGTTTTCATCAAGTGGACACATAAAGCCCTATCTTAGTGGAATATCTTTGTAGATACTTGGGTTACTTCTTCAATGTATAATAACAATACATCACATCTCAGAAATTCAGACAATTATTTTAATTAAATATTGAAACATATTTAAGAAATGTATATTTCTTCATCCTTTATTCTTTAAATTTTTCATTGGAGAAAAATGTGTTTATACATTTTATCTTGTATTGTTTTATTCAAAAGAATGAGAGTCACCCTGGAAAAATATTGTTTAAAATATTAATAAGTGAGAACTTGGAATTTTACATTAATGAGAGACTATTTTTTTTGCTGTTTTCCTTATTTTTAACAGATTCGTAGAATATGCTTATTCCTTTCCTCAACGCTGATTAAAAACTTGCAGAATTCATCATCTATTGTGCTTTTATTCTTAAGATGTCCAAATATTTTGTAGTATTATCAGTAAAAGATTTTGCAATATAATAAATGTTGTTCATATCTAATTTTTTAAATTTTTTTTTTTACTTTCAGGAAATTTGGATATTCCAAACTGCAGAAAATACTGGAGCAGTAAGTGTCTGAGAGATATTAAATGTTTCCAGAATTTGGTTGTGATTTGATTTTTGTCTCCAGTTCACAAATACAACCTGGATGTAACAACCACCATTTCACTTGGAGCCTTGTTCAAAATACATCAACTATAATCATTATTTACTTTAAAGTGTCTTGGAGCAGTACATGTTAAAAACAAAACAAACATATCTTACCATTCTTCTGAACATCTCCATATGCTTGGCATATATTTTCATAAAATGCAACAGAAGGACCGTATTATTTATGATGAATGTTTTTGTTATCTTCCAGTCTGTGGCATCCAATCATATGAAATTTTGTCAGTGTACATGGAAACCATTAGTTCTACCAACTTTGTCTGGTGGTTGAACCAAAAATTCATATTCTCATTTAATATCTTATTTTCTTTATAATTATATTGTATATAAAATGACAGGGAGTAGTTCACTTTGTTATTGAAAACCAACTGATTATTCAATTTGTGTACTATTTAAAATACAATTCAGCCGTGAGTGGTTAATATGGTTTTATGTTTGAGATTAAATTCCATCTTTGGCCTTCATATAGGGGTGCTTTAAAAGTAATGCCTTTTATTTATTGCCACAGAGACAACAAATACAGGGAGTACAAGAACAATATTTTGAGCTATAAACACTAACATATAATCACCACTATTGGCTAAGGTGCTCTTCATCTCATGAGTTGACAGTTGTATACTACTGTGTTCACATCCATTGTTTGGTCTCCATAAACATTCTGCAAGCATCAAGGAATATCATTAGGTATTTTTTTTTTTTTTTTTTTTTTTTTTTTTCAGGATGAAGGAATTCAATGATACCTCTCTGCTTGGTATGCACTTTCATCACAAGCATAATTAAATAGGTGGCATTGCTTTCACAGTGACTTTCCCAGATTGTTATTATTTGTATGTTGTATGTTAAGATTTTTGATCATTAGTTGTTTCCAGCCATTACCAAGTTGTTTTTAATGTAAGGATAATTGTAAATGCTGTATTTGCTTACCTAAAAACAAAAATATCAAAAAATCATAAGAATCAAATATATTACAATTCATCTAATATGACTGTTGTGGATGCAAGTTGAACAGAGTAGAATAAACTGAAAATATCTCCTGCACAATAAAAATTATTTCAGTAGTACTAATGCAGTAATACAATGCATTGAATAAGAAGAAAAATGCTATTAGTTTTCTTGTAGAATTACTCAAAATGCAAATAATAACAAGGATAGCAAACTCGGAGCACCACCTGTATATAACTTACACCTGGTGTCCGTAAAAAAAAAATATATATATTAAATGCATTAGTTTAAGCATCTTTATATTAAATGAGATAATTTTACATTTTTCATTCTAAAATTTTCATACAAAATCTTACAAGATAGAATATAGAAAAAAAAAAAGAAATTTGTGTGTGTGTGTAATTATATATATATATATATATATATATATATATATATATATATAATTTCACATACACACACAATTTTTGTTAAGACAACTGACAAGGCACTTCAATTAAGCTTTTTTATTTAAGTTTTTCCTTGTGTTCATACAAGTGTTTTCTTTCTTGGACACAAAGTGTATAAAAACTGTCCCAAAATTCTGCATATATTGGCAATTAGACATTATCAAGGACAATTTTTATTTTTAATTGAATGTGTGTGTGTGTTTTTTTTTTTTTTTTTTTTTGTAAATTGTTATTCCATCTCTTCCAAATGTTGCCTCATCTGTAAGCAAGACTGGACTGAAGAGACAAACAATGGATCAGCAGTTTGTGCAATGAACCATCAACAAAAGTTCTCCCGTGGTCAGAGGACGATAGACCCTACACACATAACCACCATGCAGCACTATGAGATGTACGACATGCTAGGGTCACTTGATATGTGCTGATACCTGGATCAGAGGGTGAGAAGTTTGCTGATGAAGCAAACTGAAGTGAAACTGGTTTGAGAGTTGGAGTTATGCAAAAAACAAGAATCCTTTGGAATAAAGAATTAACTCGGGTTTAAAATGTAATAATGATTTGGTTTATACGTGATTTGTTGTATACAGTGCTTTTAACACTTCCCACTTGTTATAATCAAATGACACTGGTTTTAGTAGTAACTTAAATGTCTAAATTATGGTCTTCAGGGCTGGCACAAGGTCTTGGTTAGGAGGTATCAGCAAATGATGTGGATTCCAGTTGTGTAGCGACTCTCCTCTGGCTTATACGGAATCCTGCGTCCAGCAGTGATGGGGTTGGCTAGGGCCTAGCTTTGGTTGACTAAGCATCAACCTTTACTAAATTTCCATATATAAAAATATATTTACTAAAGTGGTTTTCTAAATTTGGGGTTTTCCATCCCCTTTTAAGAGTGGTCATAGCAATCAACCCCAAAACTTTGTAAAATAGTTTTGATACACTATATATATATATATATATATATATATATATATAATGTTTTGAACAATAAAAAATATTAAAATCTTCAGACACACTGGGTTGTAGATTAATATTCTTTCGTTTTTATTATTATTTCATTTAGATTCCTAGACTAGTTTGGGCCATCATCGGGAGAAGAAATATCTCTGCTTGCTGGTAGCAGTGAACTACAGAAATGAATGTCTTGATGGAGCTGTAGTTTTCATTTGTTTTTTATTTTTTTATCTTTTTAACATGAATCTTTTAACATTCCTTCTGTTGGTCAAACAGTGTTTTAAGTTATTTGAGATAAGAGCTGGATGGATCCATGCTGCTCTGAATTTCCTTGGTCAGTTTGACAGTTTTATTGGCTCCTGGAGAGGGGATGTGTCTGTTAAGTGTGTGCATGTTATTTGGTTCTTAGTGAGTGAGTATGATATGGGTAAGCGTGTGTATATTGCTGTAGATGTGTGTTATCAATTGTCTCATTAGGTAGTGAGTATGATGTGTGTATATTCATGTGGGTGTATGTATAAGTGTGAGGCCTCAACACCTCCATAAGCATGTCTGTCTTGTGTGGGTGAGAAATGTGGGTTGGTTTTGATTTGTAGGGTTATATATTAATACTATCTATATTGTTAAATTTATGGTTTAGCCCAGCGGGATAGTGTGTTTTTAAACGTTGTATCCACTTATTTTCATGGAACTCTAAAATCTTTCTAATGTTATCTGCTCTGAACTTTTCTATTCTCTCAATTATAGTGAATTTGGCATGGGTTTTGAAATCATGTTTTTCCAGGCATGGGTTTTGAATTCGTGTTTTTCTAGGTGGAAATGTTGTTCTACAGGTAATAATTTTTCATGGGGAGTCTACTTATTTCGATTGCGATAATTTAAAAATAATAACAAAAATACTAAAGAACTTTGGATTATTTACCTAATGAGTTCTTTCCTATTTTCTATACATTTTTATACACACACACACACACACACACACACACACACACACACAAAACATCTCAAACGACCAGATATAAGCAAATGTACAAGCACATGCTGGTTGCGTACGCAGGCAAGCAGATAGTCATCAAATTTATACATGAGATATAAACATAATAGTGCTCGATGTGGTTAAACAGATCAAAGATATATATTCGTACATTTTTTTTCCTTACTAAGATTTAAGCATATTACCAACTTACCTCCCTTTAACCATTAACGTTATCTTGGCTATGCGAAAATAGTGCCTATAATTTTAAAACTTGTAATCATTTTTTTTTTTTTTTTTTTACAATCTTTACCTTTTTTGTTTTTTTGAAATGTAACTCCACTGCATCACATTACTATTCTTTTTGCCTAATTTTATTTTTGAGTAATGGAGAAGCATTTCTCCCATATATCCTTGTGCCTGACAAGCTGTAATTCAGTTAAACTTAAGTTGCACACCAACACTAGTATATGTACTAATTTTTTTATATATATATATAAAAAGCTTTAAATGTTATTTTAGTGGATACCCCTGTATTTGAGTAGATGCTTTGTTTATTTATTAAACAGTATATTTTTGTTTACCAGACAATGTTTAATAAATATTATTAGAGAAAAAAAATATGTGCTCTCTAGTAGGATTTGAACCTGCATCCTGTTTTGCTGGAGAAATTGTTATATCTGATATTCTCTAGACTGACAGCCAGAGGGGGATGGAGGTTCAAATCCTGCTAGAGAGCACATATTTTTTTAAGATTTCTTGAACATTCAGACTGGTAGACGAAAATAAACAGTCTTTTACCCAGATATGGGTATTCACTAAAATGACATTTAAAGTGATAAAAATCTGTCAAATTACTAAGTAAAAAAAAAAAAAAACCAAAAAAAAACTATTCTTTCCAAATATATACTTTAAGCATTATTTTTAGTGGATACCTATATCTGAGTAAATGCTCCATTTATTTTAACAATATTTTCTTTAGTCTTCTAAGTGTAGATAAAAAAAAAAAAAAAACCAAAAAGTCTTCTAGTGTGTGCAGGCCTATTCTTTTGCAGGCCAAATCTAGTCTTCTATGCAGGCCTTTAGATAATCATTAGTCTTTAGTGTGCAGGCCTGTAGATAATACAGCCAGTCTTCTATATCTAATCTACAAATGTGCAGGCCTGTAGATAATCTACAGCCAGTCTTTAGTGTGTGCAGGCCTGTAGATAATCTACAAGTCTTCTAGTGTGTGCAGGCCTGTAGATAATCTACAGCCAGTCTTCTAGTGTGTGCAGGCCTGTAGATAATCTACAGCCAGTCTTCTAGTGTGTGCAGGCCTGTAGATAATCTACAGCCAGTCTTCTAGTGTGTGCAGGCCTGTAGATAATCTACAGCCAGTCTTCACCAGAAAAGCTAATGTTATCAGTACCAAAGGGATGAGCTTTTATTAATTACATGTAAGCATTTTTTAGGAATGTGATATTTCCATAAGTGATATGTGTAGAATTATTTGTAACTATAGGTAAGGTGCATACATTTAAAATTTTTAAAAAGAAAAAGATGATTCCATTAGAAGTCACAGAACTTGACAGTACTCGAGAAC